TTAGGGCTTGTAACGACTTTAACTGTTGTTAAACACAGATGTAAATAATCCTGAAGCTTACTATAAGCATATATATTTATAAAGAATCAAAGGGCTGCAAGTTCTGTGGTATTTTCTGATCTTTGCAATCTTAAAATTGTACTGTATATCTGTATGCATTTTCCTGTATAAGTTTATTTTTATGTATTATAATTCCTTTTGTAAGGCACCTGAGTTTGATATATACAGAATTCTGCATTACTAGAGTTGCATCAAAAAATCATTTATGTTCTTTTTTTACGACAGCCACACTTTATCCTTGTATATCATGGCTACTTCCTTAACAAAAACACTCACAAAAAAAATCTCTCACTCACGAAGCGAACGCGTTACCACTGTACCACGGAGAAGTTATATACAAAACGTCTGAATAATATCAAGTGATTCTAAATTTACAACTTCCATTGCAGTTCGGGTTTGTAATCCTTATTAGTTTCGAGGTATTTTGTTCAGGGTAAACCTGTTGTTTAAAATTGAAGTAAATATTTTAGCGAAAATCCTCTCGCCCAAACAGTCCGACATATAGAATCTATGTATTCCACTACTCGGTTTGTGTAGTATTTGGTACTCGACATGGCTAAAAATAGTATTTTCATTGATAAAGTCATATTCATCTTTGTAATTTGTGATTGTGCATTTATTGACAATTCTATAAGCCGCAACGCTATTGTTTAACTTTAAATGCGTTGTAATTTGTTGGATACTTGTAACAAAATAAAATATTTCTTTCTTTAAAATCGCTAGTTTTAAGCTGTTTTGAGAACTACTTGTTGTTAGGTTTGTCGTAAACTTCTGTGTCAGAGATTGAATGTCCGCTTTGTATTTAGTTATTTTCGATCAGAAAATACAATAAAACAATATTAAAAATCTTCGACCATTCGGGAATTACTTTGCTTGAAAATTGATGCGCCTGTCTTTTACCATCTTTACCCAGTGATCTCCCCTGAATTTTTGGGCTTTAGTGTACATTCAAAAGGGAAGTAACCGCTTCAAAAAAGTGGACTACTTTTGGCATTTGCAATTAACAACATTAGACTCTGAAATTTCGCTACCATTATTTGTTTGGTCTGACGACCCAAACAAATAAAAACAGACACCTGAGGTCTTCCTCAAACAGTTAAGCTGGAAAGTAGCAAAATGACCTATACTAGCTGTGTTGGTGCTATGTAAAAACCAACTAAAAAATATTTTTAATGAAGTAGTATGTAACCATAACAGCATTCTACAAATAGTTCTTGATCAAGAGTTTTTAGCTCGACTTTTCTATGAAAAGGGGAGCTATCCTACTCGCCCCGGCGTCGGCGTCGGCGTTAGCGTTGGCGTCACACCTTGGTTAAGTTTTTCGTACCACCCCACTTTATTTCAGAAGTATTACAAGTATGGCTTTGAAACTTACCATACTTGTTCACCATCATAACCTCCATCTACAGACAAGAGTACATAACTCTGTCAAGGTTTTTGACAGAATTATGGCCCTTTTTTGACTTAGAAAGTGTATTGAGCTTGGTTAAGTTTTTTGTACCACCTCACTTTATTTCAAAACCATGGGAGGTATTGCTTTGAAACTGACCATACTTGTTTACCATCACGACCTTCATCAACAGACAAGAGGACATAACTCTGTCAAGGTTTTTGACAGAATTATGCCCCTTTTTGACTTAGAAAATACATTGAATATGGGTAAAATCCACTTATTGCCTTAACCCTTTGAGATATTGCTTTGAAACTTTTAATGCTATTTCACATCATTACCCCCATCTGTACGCAAGAGAAGGTAACTCTGTCAAGGATTTGTTTTAAAAATTAAGGCCTTTTATCGACTTAGAATCTTGTTAAGTTTTTAGTACCAGTCCACTTTTTGACTGAACTGTTTGAGATATTAATTTGAAAGTTGGAATACTTGTTTACAATCATGATTCCAAACATGTCCAGGAGAAGGTAATTCTGTCAAAGATTTTATTTGAATTATGGCCCTTAACTGTCAATGTTTTGTATTATAGGCAAGCACTAAAAAACTTAAAAAATCTAAAAAAATTCATTCCTATCCACTTGTTCACTTTACCATAAATTATGTCATATAAACATTGCTGTAATATTCAAGGGTATCAAACAACTAGTTCACTTTAAAAATACAGAGATTCTTGTATTGCCTTTTACTGCAAAAACTTTTTTTATTGGCAAGCAATAAAAAAGTCGAGCGCGCTGTCTTACGGACAGCTCTTGTTTTCCATTCTTATTTGATCATGATTAATAGGTTTTCTAATTACAAACTCAACTACCCATAAAAACATTACTTTCATCATCTTTTTATCAAGGTTTTGTACTTTTAAAGAATTTGTTAAAGTGAAGGCCAAGTATTTCATCTTATAGTAAAACCCGTTTAAAAGACCACCACAGAACAAGAACCAGAAGAAAAAAAAACCCTGCAACTCATCATTTCTTTGTCCCATTTTGTTGTTATAATATAAATTTGACATAATTTTTAGTGGAGGACCTTTCAATAATAAGCATTAATTTCAATGAGCAGAAACCTGTTCAATATATTATACTCTGTCTTTGGGTATCCCATTGGCAATACGGCTAAGTCACAGGTTAACACATCAGAATAGTAATCTAAAGGTCCCTATCCGGACTGGTTCAAAGCCTGTCACTGGTGGTGAGCTGTTGTTCCCTTCAGCAAGAAACTTCACACTCATTCAGCTCAGTAATGGTTGGTTTAAGGAACAAATTCAAGTGATCAGGGTCTATAAGCTGTTAACTCTTTACCCAATCAAACAAAAATAATTTCTTTATAAACCAAAGCTTCACATTTGAGTGATAAATTAATACGTGTTAAAAAAAAATCATCTTTTAAGAGGCCATATCTCGACATTAATTTTCTGTGACTGGTATTTATTGACAGGGTTAACTATAGAATTCAATCAGGATGCTTATATTTGGTCTGTCCATTGCAACCTGATAAATACCTGTTTCAAGTTACTTTTTTTTCAGGATTTTATGGAAAATATAGTGAGTTAACATAAAGGAGCATTATGCTTAAGAAATGAATATTTTTCTATTTTTGAAGGTAGAAACATACAAGACTTTAGTGTTGAATAAGATTTAAGCATATTCGGGGCTTGCTATTGTAAGTTTGTGTAAGTGAGTTAGTAATAGTATAGCACTGAACGTGAAATAATTAGTCATAAAGGTAGAAAATTGTAAGCAAAGTGGTATTTTGGCTACCATACAAAATATCAAATTGCTATTACCGTACATAATATTGCGCTTTAATTCTCTATGTTGTTTAATTACAAATTATTAAATGTTTTCTCAGCCTTGATAAATAACAAAACTTTTCCAAATTTTTGGTGGAAAAAAAGATTGTTTGTTTATTGTGTCCCCTCTACGAAGTAGTGGCAACATATAGGGATCACTTCTCCGTCGTCTGTCTGTCCGTCTGTCCGTCACAAAAATTGTCCGGACTACTCCTCATAAACAACTGGTGCAATTACATCCAAACTTTACAGGAATGATCAGTACCAAGTCTAGTTGTGCATATTGTCAGCATTTTCTGGTTCAATGATTTTTGTCAGAGTTATGGCCCTTTAATAATTTTTATTTTTAAAGTTTGTCCGGACTTAACTTCTCTTATATCAATTATGCAATTCAATGAAACTTTACAGGATTGATCTGTAGCTCAAGTCCTTGCGCATATTGCACGAGTTTTCCGGTTGAATGATTTTTGGCCGAGTTATGGCCCTTTGATAAAAAAGGTGTTTTTTCTGTGTGTTGCCAGATACACAAAAGCTTGTCCGGACTACTCCTCATGAACAACTGGTGCAATTTCATCCAAACTTTACAGGAATGATCAGTACCAAGTCTAGTTGTGCATATTGTCAGAATTTTCCGGTTTTGAAATTGGCCATAATGAGGCGACACATGTGATCACTGATGGCTCTTGTCTCAAAGATGTGTAGGTATTTGTTACTTGTAAAGCCTGTTAAAAAATAAGGACAATTTTACTTGGAAGACCTTTAAAAAATAAGGACAATTGTACTTGCAATGAAAGCCTGTTGAAAAATAAGGATACTTTACTTGAAGGCCTATTACAAATAGGGACAATTTTTACTTGAAGGCCTGATCAAAAGTAAGGACCATTCTACTTGAAGGACTGTTAAAAAATAAGGACAATTTTACTTGAAGGCCTGAAAAAAATTTAGCAAGGACAATTTTCTAAATGAAGACTTGATAAAAAATAAGGTCAATTTTACTTCAAAGCCTGTTAAAAAATAAGAACACTGTTGATGTTTTTAAAGAAGCATGACACAGACTCCAAGCATTTTATTTTCCAATCAGATCATTCACATTGAAACACTTTTTTTTAACAAGAAAATTTATCCTTACAAATTGGTCAAACCTTTACCAGACCAAGGTTTGTCTCTTGTGTATTTCATAATGAAGTTCCACTGTAATGCAAATAGTCTAAAAAAACAACAAAAAACAAAAAAAACATTTTGTTTATTGTTTAAGACAGAATCTAAATTCCTCTTGAAGGTTTATCTTAAAAGCAGTTTAATTTACCATTGCACTTCTACAGAGTTTAAAACAGTTTTATAGTATCTATTTCTGACACTGAAAATTGAAATTATTCGAAGCCCTTGCCAGAAGTATAGAAAATGATATTTATGCATTTCTCTTAGATTCAGATAAGATAGTTTTGTGACTGGCTGCTGAAAATTTTCTGTAAATTACACTTTTCAAGAAATCATGCAAATAGATTCCGGTAAACATATTATTTTTACATCTCAATGTGAATTTATTTGAAGTATTTACTAATGATATTATAAAGAAATAAATCAGATTAATACTTTAAAGCAGCACACCTCCAGATTTATAAATTTAAAAATGTATTTAACAGTAAAATATTTGTATAGTTACCAAAATAATGCAATTTACAAGTTTACAGCCTATGTAAATTACTTTAAAAGAGGCCAAAATATGCAAAAATAGCCCTAACTGCATTAGTAACGTATTATAAATATAGTTATACATACTAAAAAATTCAGTCATTAATCGCATATAACATGTACATTTTTACTAGAATATTGAATCTTTATACCTTTCCTAAAATCTTAGTACATTTTTCTCAGGTTTGATTTTATCGAAATATTTTTGCTCAGCTGGAGGCGTGCAGCTTTAAAGAATGTTGAGTAACTCAGAAACATATTTCATGGCCAAATTACGTGAGATTGTTCATGTTCTGCTAATTTAAGTTAACTATGCAGCTAAATTGCAGCCTACCCTTGAAATGTTTTTTTCTTTACATATTAAAATGGACATTATTTGTTTTTAGAGACATTAAATTAATTAGTCACGTTTTGTACAACATTTTCGCCTCAATGGGAGACCATTGTAATGGCTACTCCATCTACACAAAGTTACAATAGCTACCCACTTAAATATCGCCATGAATAAATGTTTTATAATCATAATGCTGGAAATTGTTCTAAATCCAGACTATGAAATAGGAACATTTATTTCACTGAGCATGTAATGTATTTTTAGGAAGCTGCAATGATTATTATTTGTCATAAAGCCATTTAAGCGCACACATTATGTACAATTTTGATTCCGCCATTGGTCACAACTATAATAAACTCCGCCTACTTTAATATGAAAATTGTTCGGCAATTTTAAATTTCATTTTGCCGAGAAATTTTCTATTGCATCCATTTGATTATTTTTCTGTTATTTCTTATTTTTTTTAAATCTTATTTTATACTTAGTGCAGCTGCATGATTGAATTATTTTGTAATGGCGTGTATTTTTGATGCAACAAGTCAATGTAAAGTTTGCATAACTTTGTTACATTAAGTTGACTTGACACCGAACTTTATGAACTTTTATGATGTTATCTTTAGAATTGTAAATGAAGAACCATAAAGCAGTCAACTGTCAATACTTAATGTTTATCATTAAGTTAAGTGTCTTATAAAACCATCCATATCTTTTGCACTATCTTCTAAATGCATTTGTACATTCATCATTTATGTAATGAGGCAATGTTTAGTACAAAAGTTAAAAGTTTTATAAAAATAATGTATGTATAGATATATATATACATAAATATTTGATTTTGGGTTGTTTGTTTGAGCATTGTATAGTTTTCAGTCTCCTCTTTGCTTGTTTTTAAAGTCCCCTTTGCTTTTAATGTCGTCGGAATCCTCTTTATTGACGGTGTTTTGAATTTCACGATTTGGTGGAACTATTCTACTGGGACGTATTTTCATTTCTACTCTTGCTAATTGTTCATGTTTCCAGTCATTCCATGAAATTCCACGGTAACGCACTTTAGATATGTTATAGTATGGTCCGGTTAAGAAAGAGAACCAGCAGTTGTTGAACCACCAACCGGCCATCCATTCTCTTGCACAATTATAACCTTGATATTCGTCATTGTCACGGTCGGGCGTACTAAACATCACATGATTATGGGATTTCAACGAGTCTTGAGCACTTCCTTCATACGCATGAATATGAAGCCTATAATTGTCTCGTTCACCATCGATTCTAAATGTTTTATAAAGAGCATAAACACGGTTTCCGGTAAAGTCCCACAGGTCGATACGAAGTTCATAATAACGTTGATTACTGATTAAAAATATGTTGTCGTTTCCAAGGTAATATTCATCCGCAACATTGCCAAAACCATGCTTATAGTCATCCCAAAGTTGCTTGAAATCGAGTAGACCATTGTAACGTTTCAGGATGAGCAGCCAGCCTCCGAGTGTGGTATCCATGTCACACCAGACTGGTATTGGACATGGTGCATACGATGGTGTCACATAGTAAACCCCTGAAACTTTGTGACGCTTGAATACATCGGCACAGTCTGAAATAGATAAAGTGAAAATTGCTTTATCTGTAATTTATTAACATTTGCTTTGATTATAGGGTGCTGTTCAAATTTCAATAAATGTAACTTGAAACAATAATGACTTTGTTTGTGACCTTGACTTCTTAATATTTTGTGGCCTTGACCTTTTTCTTTTAAAGACTGTGAATCATTATATAATGTAATATTCACACTTGGTTTAATTTCACTATTTTACTATTGGTTTCAGTATTTCATTAAATTTAATGACCTTGACATTTTGCTTTCTTTAATTTAAGCATGTCCTTGACATTTTGTTTTCTAATAATGACTGAAAACCTTGACACTTTGTTTAGTTAAATTTTCATTTTTCTACTAGCCAGTCTTTAAAAAAAACCCAGACTAAATAAATTGAATTAAATTAAATAGAATAATAATTATAATAATCCAGAATAATAATATATGAAATGAAAATACAGGGTTCCTCACAGCAGCTGAAGTGAACAGTCAGATAATTTCCAGGTAATTCTATATAAATTGGCTAACATTCAATTATATGCTAATTCTGGCCGAGACAATTATTTTTGATAAGTCTCGTAACTGTCTGAAAAGTGAACAGTGCACCAGTGGGCTAAGGACTTATATAAAGTTAACAGGTGTTAATTCAAGATTTTTTTTGGGTGAATATATTTTTATCCATCATTTTCAGCTGATAGATTTTCATTCAGTAATGCACTATCGATAGTAAGTTCATATTATGTGAAGCATTCCTGAACATTTGAATCCATTCGTGCAATTTTAAGAATTTTATGTATTTTATCCATTAATCTCACTTTTGAAAATTCATTACTTCTAAATTTATTCATTTTCCATAAATATCTAGAGGAGTAAAATAAATGTTGAAGAAAGATAAGTTCCCAATCCATTAGTGACACTATGCATGCGTTTTGTTGTTGGTTTTTTTTGTGTGTTTTTCTTGTGAAACTGAATTTATCATTTTATCTTTAAACCTTTTACCACATGAGCATTATTGTGAAAAATGTCCGTTTTCATTGAAAAGCCTCCTGTTACACGTTCAAACTGCTATTAATTTATGAAAAATGCTTCAATACTGATGAAACTTGGCACAAATGTTGACTGGACCAAAGTCTTTGTAACAGCATGCTCAATCTTAAATTTCCTGTTACGATGGCAGAATTGCCAAAAAACAATATTTAGCATTATTTTTTCCATCAAAACTGATTTTAAAGTGCTGCAACTGAAATAAAGTAAAAGGCTTATCAGCGTTATTTACATGTTACTGTAAGATTGACCTTAAAGGCCATTTTTAGCCTGTCACATGTCCAAACAGAATGGGGCACATCCTCCCTCTGGCACCCTCTTGATGTACCTTTTGATAGGGGGCGGCAATGAAAAAGTGATCACTTTTTATAACAATGTTTCTCAAAGAAAAAACAGGTTTTCGGGCTAAATAGGGCATTTTTTCACTATCTGAGGCCTAAAAGGGGGGGGGGGGGAGAGGGGTTGAAAAGACTTTAAAACATGTCTATATGAGTCAAAAAGTTAAAGCAGCACGCCTGCTGATTCATGCTAATTTTCATGAAAATTTGAAAATGAATTTCACAGTAAAATATTGTAAAGTTACCAAAAGAATGCAATTTACACATTATCAATGGCATTTACAACCTATGTAAATTACTATAAAGAGGTCAAAATATGCAAAAATAGCCCTTACTGTGTTAGAAATGCAGTAGAAATATAGTTAAAAATACTGAAAAATTCGGTCATTAATCGCACATAAGATGTAAATTTTTACTAAAATTTTGAATCTTTATACCTTTCCTAAAATCCAAGTACATTTGTCTCAGGTTTGATTTTATCGAAATATTTTGGTCATATGCAGGCGTGCAGCTTTTAGCCTGTGACATATTTTAGCAGATTTTTGTTCTACAAAAATGTGTCATATGTGTAGAAGTGTTTTTTTTTCCTAAGTAAAAATTGGTAATTTTCATAAAAATTTGAATGAATTTCCAATTTGCTAGTTATCTGAAATGGACTCTTTCATCTTTCAATCTGGACAAAACCATTAAACTTTTTTAGGGGAAACTTTGAAATTTATTTAGAGAATGAAGAAACCAACACTGCAGACCATGATACTCAGGCAGCATGCCAGATATGTCACTGGTCACATTGATACAGAATTGACAGATATTTGTTATTGCTGAGTATCAGAATTGACAGATATTTGTTATTGCTGAGTATCAGAATTGACAGATATTTGTTATTGCTGAGTATCAGAATTGACAGATTTTTGTTATTGCTGGGTATCAGAATTGACAGATATTTGTTACTGCTGAATTTTGGTATTGACAGATATTTGTTAGTTGTTACTGCTGAGTATAAGTAACAACAGATATTTGTTACTGTTGAGTATCAGAATTGAGAATTGAAAGATATTTGTTATTGCTGAGTATTGGAATTGACAGATATTTGATACTGCTGAATTTTGGTATTGACAGATATCGGAGAATCGGAATCAACAGATTTTTGTTACTGGTGAGTATCTGAATTGACATAATTAATATTTGTTACTGCTGAGTATTGGAATTGAGAGATACCTTGGGAATTGACAGATATTTGTTACTGCTGAGTATCATGGAAACAGATATTGATGAAATTCAGACTGCATTTTTTATACGTCAGAGCTTTTATTATCATATGTTGTATACCCATGATTTTATGAAATAGATATATATTTGACTTGATTGACTGCTGATTATCACCATATTATGATAAACCTTTTCAGTGTGTGTCAACCGCCTCCATGGTCGAGGGGTTAGAGTCGATGACTTCTAATCCATAAACCTCTCTGGCGTGGGTTCGATCCCCGGGAGATGCTTTGGTAGTTTAGCACGCAGGAAGGGAGTCTAGTACTGGTGTAACTCTCCAGGAACGATGGTTAGGAAACTACCCGCCTATATTACTGAAATATTGTTGGAAAAGGCGTAAAATGAAACAAACAAACAAACAGTGTGTGTCAGTCTATCTTGAAACTCAACCAATAAAAAAAGCAGAAAAAAAGAAAACCCTCGTGGTTAAAAGTGCATGCAAAATACTGGTGATTAAAGACTTTTTTTAAGACATGCCTGTGAACATCTGTACAAACAATCTTATTCAAATTAATTCAGTTGTGTCTGGTATATGGGGCATTTCAATTTAGTGTAAATCTCTGATGCAGATTTATGTAGATGATTAGAAAAAGGAGAGTCAATCATTTGCATTAGATTGTTGTAAATATTGAAGATTTTTATTTTTATGAAGTTCTGCTCTTTTAAATAAATTGAATGGCCTTGTGGAAGCTATTGCATTTTTAGCAAGGATAGATATTTTTAACCAGGTTTTCCGAAGGAAAAAACTGGTTATTAGATTGAGGTATGTCGGCGGGCGGGCGGCGCGGCGGACGGGCGGGCGGGCGTAAACAATTTCTTCTGTGCGCAAACTCCTCCTACATTTCTCAACGGATTTAGACCAAACTTTCACAGAAGCTTTGTCATCAAGTGCCCTGGCGCATATTGTCGGGTTTTGCCATTAGATAATATTTGACCTAATTATGGCCCTTTGTTTTTTTCCTTATATAAAATATATAGTGAACAATTTCTTCTGTGCGCAACTCCTCCTACATTTCTCAACGGGATTTTGACCAAACTTTCTCAGGAAGCTTTGTTATCAAGTGCCCTGACACATATTGCCAGGGTTTTGCAATTGGTATATATTTGACCTAATTATGGCCCTTTGTTTTTTTTTTCCTTATATAGAATATATAGTGAACAATTTTCTTCTGTGCGCAGCAACTCCTACATTTCTCAACGGATTTTGACCAAACTTTCTTAGAAGCTTTGTTATCAAGTGCCTGGCACATATTGTCGGGGTTTTGTGATTGGATAATATTTGACTGAATTATGGCCCTTTGTATATTTTTTCCTTATACAGAATATATAGTGAACAATTTCTACAGTGCGCAACTTCTCCTACATTTCTCAATGGATTTTGACCAAACTTTCACAGAAGCTTTGTCATCAAGTGCCCTGGCGCTCACTAAATTCCCATGTTTCTTCCAAGACATCATTCAAGTATTTTTTATGCTCCCCGAAAAAATTTCGGGGGAGCATATAGTCGCCGCCTTGTCCGTCCGTCCGTCCATCCGTCCGTCCGTCCGTCTTTCCGTCCGTCCGTCCGTCCGTCCCCTTTTCTTGTCCGGGACATAACTTTGAAACAACAAGAGGTATCAACATGAAACTTTGTAGGTAGATAGATCTCATTGAGAAGGTGTGCAGTGCACAAGAACCGTAACTCTGCCTTGCCTAATTTTTGAATTATTCCCCTTTGTTTATTTTTACACTTTGAACTTTGTCCGGGACATAACTCTAAAAGTATAAGAGGTATCAACATGAAACTTTGTAGGTAGATAGATCTCATTGAGTAGAAGTGCAGTGCACAAGAACGTAACTCTGCCTTGCCTAATTTTTGAATTATCCCCTTTGTTTATTTTACACTTTGAACTTTGTCCGGGACATAACTCTAAAAGTTAAGAGGTATCAACATGAAACTTTGTAGGGTAGAATAGATCTCATTCAGTAGAAGTGCAGTGCACAAGAACCATAACTCTGCTTGCCTAATTTTTGAATTATCCCCCTTTGTTTATTTTACACTTTGAAATTTGTCCGGGACATAACTCTAAAAGTATAAGAGGTATCAACATGAAACTTTGTAGGTAGATAGATCTCATTGAGTAGGTGTGCAGTGCAACAAGAACCGTAACTCTGCCCCTTGTCTAATTTTTGAATTATTCCCCTTTGTTTATTTTTACACTTTGAACTTTGTCCGGGACATAACTCTAAAAGTATAAGAGGTATCAACATGAAACTTTGTAGGTAGATAGATCTCATTGAGTAGGTGTGCAGTGAACAAGAACCTTAACTCTGCCTTGCCTAATTTTTGAATTATCCCCTTTGTTTATTTTTACACTTTGAAACTTTGTCCGGGACAAATTTCTTA